CCCCAAAACCCCAAAACCCCAAAACCCCACAATACATAAGATTGTGTATTACCTCGAATTATGAAATTAAAAAAAATCTCTATTTTGCTTTGTGTCATTATGATAGTCAATTTTAAGCCAGAAATTTATCAACATCTTCTAGCAGCTAATTTTGCTTTGCGAGTTTAGCTTCAGCATTTTACTTTATTTCTACTATCATATCATATAGGTGCTCTTTGAATGTATCTTTGCACAAAGTCTTAAGTCCTAAGATTTTACTATTTTGTTGTTCATCCAACAGAGAGTATAGAATGTCATCATTATTTTCTGATACGTTGATTGAATTATCGATTGGAGGATCATATTGTATCAAGGGAAATTGATTAGGCTGGTTGAGATCAAGATTATGATCAAAATTCATATCAAAATGATGATGACTGTGACTTGATTAATGACCAGAGAGAGCAGTTTGGAAGAAAGGATTTTAGATCAAGCTTTTGCTATTATGTTATGATGTGCCAATCCTCTAGTTATTTACCTGCTCGAAATGCCCCTCAATTTGGTTGAGTATCATGTTGGTTCTATTACCACCAGTACCAGTTATTCCCCCAATGTTATTGTTATCTAGAGTAGGGAATCGATTACTTTATTATTGATTAAGATTCAAAATACCAAAGTCAAGACTATCGAATCTCTAGCCATGGCTTTATGCTCCACTAAATCTCATTCCAGCAGTACTTCCTCCTCCTAGATGTGAAAAATTGCCAGTTAAGCCATCTAATTGACTGTTTTAATTGTTTACCGAATTCCCAAATCCTACACCACCAATGTTGAACGGATTATTTTGTCCTTCAAGCTGGTTAAATATATCTCTTAAACTATGGCTTTCTTAGGCTGCCTGAACAGCTTCAACTGCGTAAAATTGTTCTTATCGCACAATATCACAAGTAAGTTTTAAGTTCTTAGCCACTTTATCAGAAATTAAGTCAAGAGACTTCATATTAGTATCGAGATGCTGCAGAATATTGTGAATAGCCCCTGACTCAATATGTATTCTCTCCTAAAACTCCTCGTATAGCTGTAATCTCTAGTCTTACTTCATTCTAAGCAGTCTGTAATTCAATTGCAATAGAGCCTTAAAATGCTGATGGAATTATTTTACCAGCATTTTATTAGTCATGACTGGTGGGTTTGCCGAAGGTAATTACGATTATAAATTGTTACTATTCTGGTTATTTGCTTAGTTATTGTGAAAATTTTCCATGTTTAATTATGATCTATTATTAAATTAACTTTATAATATAGGCTAATTTCTAATCACATAAAGAATCATTTAATCAAAATAATACATTCAACTACTAGATAATAAAATCAATCAGCATCCCAGCCACTTAAACCATTTTTATTTGTTTTATCTTTAGTCCACTCTTCAATGAGTAAATCTTTGATACTCTCTTAAGCTATACTGTTACCTAGCTTGAAGTCTTCTAAAAGTTACAGTGATCCGTTTTAATTCCTTGATATTGGAGCATGATTTCTAGCGCTATTGAATCTGCTTAGATTTAAGCCTTAGAGATTGTCCTTGTATTCAGGTGGCAACTTTATTGTAGCTATAATATTTCTTTTCTTTTTGCTTGGCATTTTGCTTATATTCCCAGCAGAGTTCAACTTTGTCGGCGGCAGAATTGAGGCTTACTAAAACTTGCTCTTAGAATAATAACGATTTTGTGTGGTTTTCTCAGGTCTTAGCTCTTCGACGTTATACTTAGAGACCTTAATTACACTCTTATCTAATAGTTATGAAACATTCGGTCTGTTCAATAATCTTATGGTTGTCAGTCCAGATTGATGCTAACTCTAGTCAATTATGTTCATTAGGATTTTCTCATGATTCCTTGTTTTCTCATTTTGCCTCACATTATCATAGAGAGATATAACTCTCTGATTCTAATGCATTTTATCTGGAATTGGAGTCTTATCAGCTACTGAAGGAGTTTTGGCATGCTACTAATTAATATATGTCTAAATATACTTTCGACTTTGCTGGCTTTAAGTATTTTAATGACTAAGCACTCCACAGCTACCTATATTGTTTAATTCAGGGAGCTTAGGCTAATCTACTCTTTCAGGAGTCTATTTATTGATAACTATTGGGGAAACTGCTGGCTATGAACTTACAAGTCCACCGTTGCTGCTTTTGTTCATTAGATTATTCTTCTTTGTAAACAAATTAGACCTTCTCTTGGCACCTTAAGTGAAAACCTATCTCTCAAGCAGGAGCTAAGTTGTAGTATCCTTGATATTTCTTAGCTTCATAAACTCGTTAAGCTGTTAGCTGGCAATACTAGTCTTTACCATGACAGGCTTGATGTGAATGCTTTCCATCGATTTCTAATCGAAGGAGGATTTATCTACAAAGTCTTGCAAGGAATTCATATGGTGATGATTGTAATTCTGGTTTTAGTTTACTTGATCATGTTTTCTTTAGAGTAAGCCGTATGACTCCTAAACAGCATTGTCCTCTTAAATCAGAATAGTTTAATACTAAGTCGATTACTGCTAATGTTAATCGGAATTGGAGACAGCTTAACTCTGAGCCTGCTTATTATAGTTATTTATGTCCAGTTTGGTGTCTCTCAAGACCATCATCACTTGCTTTTTATCATTTAGATCTAAATTAGAGTTGTTGAACCTTGCTTTGAATCCTATCCCTATTTATTAAGGTTTAGGTCCTATCCTGAAATCATTATTATTCTTATGAAGCACATTTTCAGACCGATGTGGTTTCATATTATTATAAGAATTCAACTAGCTGTTCGAAGTATTTTTGTTTTCATTGCCTGTATTGTTATTACTGCTACTGTTATTGTTTTACTTTAAGTCCTCTCCATTTCAGATTATCTTTTTAGATCGCTTAGCCAATGTGTTTATGTGATTAAATTAGCGCTGAAGGTTTGTTAGTAATTTTTCAAATAGTTATTTATTTTCTTCCATTGAATAATCTAATGCTTATATTTATATTTAAAATTATTAGTTACTACATTTATAGTATTCATCATTGTTACAACCAAACTTTTACTTTACAAAATATTATTCATTCAACTATTCTATCAATTTTTTTACTTCCAATTTTTAGCACTAGGGGGTTTTGGGGTTTTGGGG